CTTTTGTTTCTCTTAGTTTCTATTCTCATTTTCTAATTTTTCTTTTCATACTTTCACCTTGTTTTTAAATTGTACTTTTGAATTCTATGCCCAGGTCCTCCTGAAATTAGTACTGAGCTCAAGAATCAGTCGGTTGCCTATAACTCGTCGCTTGAGTTAATTTGCTCTCGAAGCGGTTTTCCTACACCCGAGATACTCTGGACTAAGGATGGGGTGAATCGCAGTAACAACAACACTCTCACGATTCGCCAAGTGAGATTGGAAGACTCTGGTCAATACACCTGCAGCGCCAAAAACAGCGAAGGAAGCAAAAACTCAACTTTCTGGATTGAAGTGGCGGGAGGTACGGTTCTTATATACACATAGAAAGAACTGGAGTCGATAATCAATTTAGATCTTTGGTTGGATGAGAATAAAATCGTTTCTATGATACCAAATCAAATTTAAGGACTTGAAACCACAAAAGTTTCAAAATTGACTAAAAATTAACAAAAAAGTACTCAATTGATGATAAAATTTAAAGGGCGAGAACATGCCAACCTATATATCAAATGTAAATGAACTTCGTGATCAGACATGTACTTAATTTTTGGGCGGTTTAAACAGATCGCCTTTTGGAGCATTGAGCAATTTTGACTTTTAAATATCACTATGTTTTGTAAAGGCATTTATTATAAAAGTCCGTTTAAGTTTTTTAATTACCTTTTTTTCTGCTTCTTAAATACCAATGACTGACAAGTCATGATTTCATGTACATTTTTAGAAGTGCAAAAATATCAAATTGGCTATCACTGCATTATTATTTGAGTATTTATTACTGAAGTTGGAAAGCGAAACATCCATGTAAACTTTTCATTGAGTTGAAATTTGAAAAAACTGCGACCAAAACTGAAAAGAAATACATGAAAATAATTCCGCTGTTACGTCGCTATTAACTTGTACTCCTGCTACAACGGACGATCTTAGTGTTTAAAATGACAGATTAAACGTAATCTTTTCATGGAATGGAAACCTTTTAAACATTACTATTGGGCTATTCTTCAAAGTAAATGTGTAGTTTGAACTTAGAGAAACTGGTACTCTTTGAACATGGTAGCACGGGGTGTTGATATTACACTTAACAACCAGTAAGAAAAGAATGAAGAAATTGATAAATAGGTAACTAAATTGTTACCTCCTGGGCTGTTGCTAAGATAGGAAATCTTTTAAGCAAGTAAAAAATGTTTTGATGTCACATTGGGCTGACCTTTACCTTTCTATATCAAAAGTGAAGAAAACTGATTGCATAACAAACTTGGATTAAAAATAGGCTCGGCAATAACGTAGTTTGCTTCCATTTTGGAACTAGTTAATTTAGGGTTGGATAAGGGAGGGGGGAGAGGGGGTTAAAATGGAATGCGACTCTTTGTTAAGCTTGGTGATCTTTTTACTTCAAGTCTCTCCCCAGATCATTGAGCCTCCGAAAAGCAAATCTGTTAACGAAGGATACCCTGTAAACTTTAGTTGCGTAGCCTCAGGTATTCCAACACCAACCTTCGTCTGGACTTTTAATAATGGTGACCTGCCATCTGGTATCAATCAAACCGATCACGAAGAAGAATCATTGCTAGTTTTGCCAAGTGTCACGAAAGGGATGAATGGGACTTACAAGTGTACAGCAAAAAACAAAGCAAACACAATCAGTTCCTCAGCAACTCTGCGTGTTTATGGTAAGTTCAGTTATAATGATACTGATGATGATGATAATGATGATGATGATGACGACGATGATGATGACGTTGATAATGACGATGATGATGTTGAAGATGAAGGAGAGAAATAGGGAGAGAAGAAATTAAGACAGGAATTGAACTTGTAAATCCATGGGAAATGGCGACGAAGAAAAGGAATAGCGCGAAAAGAATGTAGGCAAACTCGGCCCATTTGTGTGAAAGTAAAACAAAGCGTTATCCACCAGATAGAATTTTATCTTGTGGACAATGTTATCTACCCTTCGAACGACCGGGGCCTGACCTTTAAAAAACGGGTGATACCAATGCTTAATACTAATGTCCTTGGATCTTTATGATTACAAACGCAAAAAGCTGCGTAGATCTGAGTAGGAAAGAAACGCTTAGGAAAAAGGACATGTGATGACGCTATAGAGAGTTGATTGGTTCGAAATACTTGACGATATGCAATGTACTTCCATGCTGGAAAAATCTGAAGAAGAGACTTCCGAGACGGAGAGATCCAGAATCTAAGAAGAAAGCAAAAACCAAGCAAGACGCAAAGGCCAAAGTTACATACGACACATAATTGGTATTCTCTACATTTAACGACAAAACTAAATCAGAGGAAACTACTTAATTAAAGCGAATACGCTTCTATCCGTGACCGAAATCGGAGGTCGAATAGCGATTAAGCATTTGAAAGAATTCTCTCGAACCCTCAATTCTCTTAGATCTCTCCACAAAGTTGATTTATGGCTTTTGTAACTCGTAATGTGACTCAGCCAATGAGGATGGAGAATATCACAGAATCAAGATTTATGGATTTACATGCTGAAAAAGCATGAAATGAAATTTTCTTCCCAAGCTGGTCCAAGAAGCCGAGAGCCAATCATATGGCGCATATCGCTTTTTTTACTTGTGAGGAAACGCGTATCGTGCTTTTTTACCCGTAAAGCGTGTTATTCTTATTAATCCTTCACTGGCATAGTTTCCGTTCGTAGCATTATAAAAATCGGCTCGCAGGACTTTCTATTAGATCAAATCACTTACAAAAGATGACTGAGGAACTCTGTGGAGAGTTATGCGGAATAAAAAGTATGCAGAACAAAAAGAGAAAGAGAAAAGAGCGAGTCGGTTTGTACCAGAAGTCTCATTGGTTCGATGCGCACACCTGTTCGATTTCCGAATACTACCAACTCGTGCGTAAAATGCCCTACAGACAGACTTACATGAAGTATTCTCTATCGATTGAATTGTCATAACAGCTCTTGATTCTAGTTCCGTCTATGGTATCCACAATTTATCCATAGAAATTTAACCGTGTCAGCTTAAGAGAATGTTGTAAGTCCACTCGAGAAAATGTAGTAAGTCCACTCTCCTCAGGAAGTGATGGGAAACCACCTAATGAAGTTGTAGCAGTACTTTACAGTTTAGACGTACGATCATCTACTTGAAATCACATCCGCTACCGCATTGCTGGAAAAGAAAAAAACTTGGTGTTGCATGACTTACTTGTTATGTCCTTTTGACACAAGGGTGCAGAAAAAAGAACAAGAGAAGATGGAACATTATCAAGACCTTATTTTAGAAGTTCAGCGGAGGATCTGGGGCGGTTGAAACAGTTACCAGGAAATTTAAAACATAAGGGCTTCAAGCCTGTTCTGAAACTCTTTCGAAAACTCACGAAACTCACATGGAAACACTTTTTTTTCTTCTTTTTCTTCTTCGCATTTGACTCGTTTTGTTTCCATGTTTTTTTTGTTTTGCTTTGCTTTTTGGAGTGTTTCTAATGCAGTTGAAGTTTTAAGGCGACAATAGCATTCTAACGAATTTCCCCTTTTTCAACGCAGGAAAAGCCTCAGCTCTAGTTGTTACAGAGACAAACACAGCACTCACCAAAGGAGATGCCCTCATATTAACCTGCAAAGTCAACAAAGAAACAACAAGTATAAAGTGGAAAAAAGATGGAGACCTAATAACAGAAAGAGCAATTATAAATACCAAATTAGATGAGAGAAAGAGTAAACTTGCTCTTATTAGTGTTGTGGAAGAGGACAGTGGTGAATATTCTTGTGAAGCTCGTAACAAGCTAGGAACTGTGGCTCGCTCTGTTGTGACAGTAAATATCAAAGGTAAGTTGTATAAGGAACTACATACAATTTCAGTAATCAACTATGTAAGGTCATTATCATAAAATACACGTCCGCCTTTTATTTTCCTCACTAAAATTTTTCCAGTCTTTTTGAGTCTTCTGGGAACTAAAAATATGAAGGAAATTTGAAAAACCTGTTTCAAGACGAGTATAAAACAGTCGCAGCATGTTATACATATTCTATAATTCTTTCACCAATCTTCTCTTTCTACCTGCCTGTTTTTTGTAAAGCAACACATCTGCGTCTGTTTTTTCAAGGTTGTTCCCGGTTACCCAACGCGAGCAATGAACAACGTAACTTGTTGGAACAAAAAAAAAAAGCTCTCTTTCTAGATAGTCGGTGATATTAATTTTTATTCTTAATGCCGACCAGCAAATTACTTTCCTACTAAGCCTCTTTCATTATTATATTTCAGGAATTTCAGAGGCTCCCTCCAGCAGCTCGTCTTCCTCCAGCAGCTCACTGGAGTGGTACTACATTGGGGGACCTTTGGCTGCTGTCGTTTTTCTAGTGGCGCTCATTTCATACGTTACAAAACGTCGTGAGACAGGTAAAATGTTACCATACGGAAATAAAATGTCTTCATATGGCAGATTGTGGCTTTTAATACGTTAGTGTTTTGGAGCACGAAGGAGCTATTTTAAGCAGGTCATATTCTGCATTTCCAACACCGATTTTGAAGGTCCCTCTACAGTCCCGGCAAAGCCCATTACTGATCAAATTACAAAAACCTTACAAATTATATGAAACTAATTACCATGATAACCCACCTTGTTCCTTCTCCCGTTGTTTGACAACAGAGTCAAATATAAGTTACACGTGGTTTCTGAGTCGCAAACTTTAACTTTGTTTATGATGTCATTCTTACTCACAACGAAGCGATTCTTTCATCTCTTTCCACATATCCTTTGATAATAGCCCCACCTGAGGTGCCACCCAGGCTGCAGTAAGTGAATTGTCTTTTTTTTTTTGACGCTCACTGTTTGAACGTGCGGTTATTTCCGAAGTTTCTAACTCTTGAATAAGTTTTAGTAGAGTAGTGATAAGTGTCACTGCTGAGCAAATACGTCTTTTTTTATCAGTTTGGACCGATTATATTCACCATTAAGAGCACACTGGCCAAAATAAAAGGTTTTTCTTTCGAAGCAGCTGCAGTTTCAAAGAGGTTCTTATCAAATCGCAGTCAAATGTTTCCTAATATTCTTTATGTTTTGGATTCGTTCGTCCTTCAATTGTTTTAACGCCTTGTTTAATATCTTTTTTTTTTGTTACCAGTATGCATGGTTGTGGGTGGCGTACTTTTAGGAAGAAGAGAAGCTTTGACCCTTCGTCACTCTTTGTTACAGAAATTACAGTTGAAATACACTCGGAGTCTTGTAGACCGATTTAAAATACCACTCGATATATTGATTGTAGACAATACTTCGGATGGTTTGGTTAGTATTTTATTTCTCGCGTAGGAGGCACGATATTTATATGGTGTAAAATGCCGAAAAACACAGTTAGGTTAGGTTATTTTGAGGTTATCTTCTATCTTTATTCAATTTTTTTTCAATAAAATCTCCTCTCTGGGTCGATGCGTCGAAAAAACGGGTTCAGTAAATTAGCATCCAAATTTCACCTATTTCAATAATTTTTCATTGGCAAGTGATAATTTTCTTAAGCACCTGGAAATGAAATGAAAAGAAAAAATTTAAATTGAAGATATAGAGGATATCTTTACCACGTTATGTTAAACCAGATTCAAAGAAGGAAAAGATAGATAGATAACAAAGATAGTTAAAGTCTTGTTTTCATCTGCAATTATTCAGTGAAGGGGAAGATGAAGTTGAGATGGATCAGCTGAACGCAAACACAGACGGATGGGAGATTGCAGTTGACCGCCTGATCCTTCGCGAGCATATTGGCAAAGGGGCATTCGGTTCAGTGTGGCGAGCGCTACTGGGTCGTTCCCGTGGCAGACCTGGAAATCGCACAGTTGCTGCGAAATGCTACCTACGTAAGTACTTTTTCAGGTCTTTCTTTCATACAAAGCTTGATTGAACTATCCTGTATTAATTTTTTGAGTAATTTATCTCAATAAAGAGCATTTCTCTTAGAACATGCTTTATTAACCTACCTAATACATAACATGGAGAGCTTAAAAACTATGCGCTGTTCAAATGATTTATCAGCTGGCATGTCAAATTAATTGTTAGCGGATGGTTCTCGGGGGGACCAGTTGTTAAATCTTTTGTCATACAACGCTATTAAAATAGAACAGAACACGAATATCATTTGGAGTATAAGAAGCTGTGGAGAAAAATGAAAATTTATCGATTAAATTGCATTCAAGTGTATAAAAGCGGAAAATACTACAATACTAAAAATGTCACTCTGTTGTATATTTTGCAAAGTTGCCCGCTTAGAAACTTTTAGTGGGAAATAATGTCATGAGACCTCAAAGAAACCTTGAGAGGGTGAGTCTAGCGGAAAAAACTCGAAGCCATTTGCCAGTCTAGTGGTGGTAGTATGATCTTCTTGCGCTGGACAAGCTGAAAATCACAATGCAGTAGAACCTGTATTTAGCGGTCACCTTGTAATAAGCGGTCAGTTTTGAAAGTCCCGAAACTTTCCTCCTTTACTTATAGTACTTTTTATATCAGGCGGTTGTGGTCACCTTTTACTAAGTGCCAACAGCCTATTTGTAATGTTCCCCACCTTTATCGAACGGTCACTAAAGCGGAAGTACTCAAATAAAATTAAGAATAATCTTTCAAGTAAAATTTAATCCATGTTTATCTCCCGAAATCAGTGTTAGGAATATTTTTTAGCGAGGTTGTGTATGTTAAGTGGTCCGTGATGGCATAGAGTGGCATTTTTTAAACTTTTATCGATAGTAGCCCTATTCCGTGGAACCTATATTAAACGGTCAACCATCCCCGCGCGTGACGGCTAAATACAGGTTCGACTGTAACAAACTTAGAGAGTCAAATGAATTTATAATAACTCTGGGAATGCTTACGAATTATTGTAGCTTTTAGTAAGATAAAAGCAAGGATTATCTAATTTATGACTTGTAGGAAACAAGATGGCGCAAACAGAGCATGTATTTAAAAAAAACTGTCTCAAATATATATTCGATCGACTATTAGGTATTATAACAGATGGAATTTCTTGGCTTAATTGCGTCTCTACTTTTGTAAGTAATCTGTAAACAATTGCACGGTTCAATGGGCTTGCCTAGTTAACAACAATGCTAAAGATGCCCAGCGTTTTCTTAGCAAATATTTTTTTTCAAGGAGGATGAATCTATTTTGGAAATTTCATGTTCAATAAATTGAACAATACGGCTAACTGACATTTTTGTCGCAAGTATGGATTATAAATGGTTAAGAATATATGAAAGTCATATATTTGAACTGCGGATAAAGACGTTAATGAAAGTGATCCTCGCAGTAATGTGCACTACTTAGGCAGTAGTGAAAATAAGGCCTGAAAAAAAAAAAAAAAAAAAAAAATTCAGGCCTATACGGGATCAGGCCTTATTTTCACTACTGCCTAAGTAGTGCACATTACTGCGAGGATCACTTTCATTAAAGTATGGATTATATTGACGACTTTCATAATGGCCGAAGGCGCGCGGAACTGGTAACGATTTTGCATGGAAACGAGGCCACAAAGGCCTCTCAGACGTAAACATAGCGCGCGTGTAGTGGTTTTAGGTCAAGTTTTTGCTTTTGTGTGAAGACAACAATACTCAATTGGGGTCAATCACCGCTTAGAATATACATTTAGGAACAGAAAGGAATGCCTACACACTGCTGCGTTCCAGGATGCACCAAAAAAGGCTATCGCGAAGAGTATGGGTCGAAAGTGTCGTACTTTCAATTTCCTAGAGAAAAAATGGTAAAGAAGAAATGGATACAGGCCATCAGGCGAGACGAAGGAAAAGACTTTAAAATATCCGACTCAACAAAGGTCTGTTCCAGACATTTTAAAAATGAAGATCTAAAAAAGACTCTTGCGGGGAAAATATGTCTAAAACCTGGCGCCATACCTTCGATATTTTCCTGGATTCGCACGTCGCCTCGCAAGAGGAAACCACCGACAGAAAGGAACGTTTGCGAACCAGTGGCGTCGATTGCCGCTGTTTCTATATCGAATGCATCTGCCGAGAGTGTGGTGGAATTTGATTTGGAAGTAAAAGTGGAAGTAAGTATCGGTTTGACTACCAGTGTTGTTGAGAATCAGAATATAATCTTGCCAGAAAAGGAATGTTATGATTTGACGGAAACCATCACAAACAAAAACAAAAGAATTGAAGAATTAGAACAGGAAATCAATGGCATTAAATTGCGATTAGAAAATGCTCAGCGGCAAATCACAAACCTTACAAAGAAACAGTTTGTGCTCGAGAACTTGAAAGCTAAGAAAAATACAGCAGCTTTTTACACTGGTTTTAATAACTGGGATGCTTTTGAGGCGGTGTACAATTATCTTGATCCCGGAGAACGAGGAGGAAACATTGCTTACTGGCGTTCTGGAAATGGTGAGGTCCCTGTTGATTATGACCAGGATCAGTCAAAGGACTCTTTCACGAAAAAAGGAAGAGCTAGGTCTTTGAGGCCAATGGACGAATTTTTTCTTGTAATGTGCAGACTAAGACAAGGGTTTCATGAAGATCATCTTGCTCACTTGTTCAACGTGTCAACACCGACTGTAAGTCGGAGAGTCATAACATGAATCAATTTCATGTACTTTAAGTTTGTTCACATTAACATTTGGCCTTCAAGGGAAGTGATAGACAGAACAATGCCTGAAGCATTCAAGAATAAATATGGGAGTACGCGTGTGATAATTGATTGTACGGAAGTAAGATGCCAGATGCCAAGTAGCTTACAATTGAATGGAGAGCTCTTCAGTAGCTACAAACATCACACCACACTTAAGGGTTTGGCGGGGATTTCTCCTGGAGGAGCAATTACATTCATCAGCCAATTATATACTGGAAGCATCTTTGACAGAGAGATTGTTAGAAGAAGTGGCCTTTTAGAATACCCTTCAAGGACAAAGACTCCATAATGGCAGATAAAGGTTTCACTATTTCAGATTTGTTGCCTTTGGGAGTTTCACTCAAGCTTCCACCTTTCTTGGGAGGATCAAATCAAATGCCCGCAGAAGATGTGGTACTGACCCAAGAAATTGCTAGTCTCAGAATTCATATTGAACGGGCAATCAACAAGATAAAAAACTTTCACATCTGGGACAGAGTAGTACCCCTTCACCAAATAGGTGTTGTAAACCAAATGTGGGCAGTGTGTGCCTTCTTGTGTAATGCACAACCCAACATAATATCAGTGTGATGAAATGGTACACTAAAATTGGTAATTATTTTGTGTATATAAAGGTGATAGAAATTACAACAAAATAAACTCCAAATCAATCACTTTTTTGGAGAAAATTTGCATTGCATTTGTTATTTTCAAGGAAAAATACCTATTGCTTGGTATGCCTCTGTAGTCACGTTTTTTCAACAGAAGACACTTCCTTTATAGTTAAATAAAAGACAAAGGGAAACAAAACATTGCTACACTACTTTTAATGACCTCTGAATTCCTTATACTCTGTTGGTTGGTAGATAAAGATCATGTTTCAGAATATTATCCATACCTATCCCATGGAAGGTCACTGGAAATTCCAAGAGAGCAGGAAGAGTCTCGAAAACTTAAACTTTAAACGGAGAGTACAATATTATCAACTGAATTTCTGGATGGTTTTGGTCACTTCAACTTCCATGATTGGCTGTGGGGCAATATTTGAACCCCCACCTTTCTTATGCCATTGCTGCAATTGAGATGTGCAGGCTATGGGTGCATGTGAATCTTCCTCTTCCAACAGATCTTTTGTTGAGGCACAGTTAAATAAGGAAAACTTACATAACTTGAACATGAGGGCCAACACATGATTGCAGAATCCCACCTTGCCGGCTATGCACGAACAGCAAGCACTCCTTACTCCGCCAGGTAAGATGCATAGGGCAATCTTTAGAGTATGTGGTGGGTCATTCTTCCGAAAGCTATGGCAGCACTTGCTTTTGAAATAAAAATACCTTTGGTCACTCGTACACTGAATTTCCTCGAGATATTCGTCATCCAAGAATCGTTTGGCTTTTAACAAGCTTGTTGGGACCATGTGGTGGTCTTTGTCCGCCATGGATTTTCCCGAATTTAAGATATGGCGATTCATTTCGACTCTGGTAAACATTGACATTTTCTCGAGCGAAGTGCCCCAACCGTCGTCGGGAAACTGCACCAAAATACCCTCTTCTTCGCTAACATCAGTGAAGGTGCTCAATCGCTCTTTTCTGCGACTGTAAATCTTGTTTGGATCTGGGTCAACAATAATTTTTATCTTTGCCAGTTCTGATGTACTCGGACACTCGTTTCACGAGCTCCGCTTTTGTCTTCAGACCTTTTCCCAAATCACCCCGGCACTTAAGCCACAAACATAGTTCTGTGTTTTTCAGCTCTTCAGGCTTTTATCCAAGCAGAGAAGCGCCTGGAATATCATCTTCCGTAAGAAAAATCGCACTTGCGTAAACTACTCAAGGAGAACGCCATAATTATACTATGAAAGTTTGAGGCCTTTGTGACCTCGTTTTCATGCCGTTCTCACCAGGCCTCGCGCTAAGCCCGCTATTATGAAAGTCATCTATGGAGTTTAGTAAACTAATTTTTTTTTTTTATGTAGACCAAATGCCTTATAATTTGCGCTGGTAAGATAACACCAAGCATACAACAATTCCAGATGTGGATGTTTACCACATAATTAATTGTGTCTGTCTTGAAATGCAAAGTTTGTTTGTTTATCTAATTTTTGTGTGGTTTCCTAGCAATCTCCGGAGAGAAAGGAAGGAAGGCCCTGCTAAGAGAGATCGAGTTATTAAAACTCTTTGGAAGGGAGGGCCATGAAAATGTTGTTAAGTTCATTGGTTGTGTCACAGTTGGAGGTAATCAGCTATTGTTATGATTATAATCAGCTAATTCACAGCAACGATTGAGGCATCTCTGAGTTCAACCACTGGTACAATTACTTCTATCAGTATTCTTAGTCCTTGCTAAGATGGTGTACTAATTCAATGGTTATTTTCAATTTTTTGACTTTTTTAAATGAATTTACTTCGCATTGTATGAGAGGCATTTTACTTGGAAGATGTTAGCTCTAAAATCTACATGCTAATTGTGATAAAAACTTCAACTTACGATGGCAAGTCTTTGTCTATTTATCTGCCATCTCTGTTTTTTCTGTCTGTCTGTCTGTAGATTTCTATCGGCCGTATTTGTCCGTCTATTTTCTATCTGTGTGTTTTCTTCTTTCACTTTCCCTCTCTGTCTCTACTTTGATTCATTACAGATATAACTTGAGGTATGACTAGATAAAGCATGTACAATTCAAACACGTGTTGGAACTTCTGCACTGCTTGCCGTAAAATAATTTTCTTGTTTTTCCCTTTTAGCTCAGCCAATACTTATCATGGAGTACCTGTGGCGAGGTGACTTGCTGGGTTATCTCAGAAAATCCAGGGGGGTTTTCGACCAATATCATCATGGGGTCGGAATTGTCGACCACTTGACAACATATGACATGGTGCTGTTTGCTAAACAGATCGCACATGGTATGACTTTCCTCGCGTCCAGAGGGGTAAGTGCTCAAACTCTTTCTGGTCAGCATGTGGTCCTGCATGTGATAAAATGGCATGACTTGCAAATCCCCAAAGTAATACTCCATACGGCTAAAAATATCCAGCACATTAAAGTCACTATTTCACAAAGAAATGGTTTGACATTAGCATGACGTTAAACTTTCTACATATATTTTACTTTTTTATTTTATGTAGTTTATAAAAGTCCCTTTTAGCAGATCATATAATATTTGTTTTCGATTTCAGATAATTCATCGCGATCTTGCAGCTCGTAACATCCTTCTTGATGAGCATCGTGTCTGCAAGTTGACTGACTTTGGGCTCTCTTATCAGGATTTCAAATACGGCCCAGGAAATGCCAAGAAGGTAATTTTCAGGATTTTTTCATCATTTAGTCAATTGGTTTTGGGGCTGCTGGTATGGAAGATAAAAATGTGAAGAATTAAAATATTACTGTCCTTACAAAACTTTCTTTTCAGTTATAGAGTCTTACTGCAAAACATATTTCCCTTTAATGAGAAGCCATTCTAAGCGTATCGAAGCTTTCACAGAAAAAAAAGAATGAACACAGGAAATAAGAAAGCCGGAAGAGATATTGTTCTCTGAATAACAAAGATACAAACTCGAAGGGCAAAGTAACAGAAAAATTTAAAGCAAAAGGAGTGTGTGAATTGTTTTCATAGAATTTGTACAAAGGTGTCTACTGCTATTGACTTTATCGTGAATCCTCACATCACGGTTTTAATCTGATATACAAATTATTTTAGGAGCTGTATACAAGCCTCTTTAGATTTCAGATGTTTATAATATTTTGGTTACTCATCCAGGGATGTATCCCAATCAAATGGACTGCACCCGAGATTCTCTTTGGACATGTGGAACAGCTGTCAACCAAAAGCGATGTGTACGTACTGTATTGGTTATTATCTACATATATTCCTAGAGTGAATATTTTTTACGATTCTACTTTAACGTAGCGAGGGAAACTAGAAAATTCGGTGCTCTATTGATTAGAGAGTCATTAGGAAACGTCAAGCTGAGGAACAGCTGAGGTTACAGTTGTAGTATGAGACTTTATATGAATATTAAGTTTAACGACCACTATCCAAAATCTGATTAGGACAAAAAAAGACGGATGAAAGGATGAGTGGATAATCAAACTAATAAATATGGCGTTTTCTCCTAGGGAGGTTGCTTATATCTTGATGGCATGTTTTTAAACATCCCAGGTATCTGAGTAATTATTATCTTTCTAACCCAGTTGAGATATATCGTCATCCTTCCATTTCTTTGACAGGTGGTCCTACGGCATCGTCTTGTATGAAATCTTCACTGTCGGTATTTAACTTATTTGTTACTTTATATTCAGGAAATATACCTGCCGAAATTGCACGCATAATTACTAACTGATGAGTGATACCGAGCGGGCAAAAGAGCATTGTACAATAGGGAAGTAGAAGCAACACTCAATGGCGCTGATAAATAAAATTATGACGATGCATAGCAACTTGAAATAAAGCTTAAGTTTACGTAGAACTGAAAGTATTTAGTACATCATTGAAAAACCTTAAATCCATCGCTACACTTAAATTTGTTTTTTTTACAGTACTCTTTCATCTGATGTAAAACCGAAGTGAATTTAAGCAATTAATTGTCGTTTTGACAGAAGAATCATTTCGATCGCGCTGAGAGGAATGAAAGTGATTACAACAAAAAAGTGTGCTTTTTTGGCCAACAGAAAAAAACATTATTTTTCCACAGGAGGCATTCCTTACGATGGATGGTCTCAATCCACGACAATGAAAAAAATCGAAGAAGGTTATCGTCTGCCAAAGCCTGAACATATCGACGACAGTTTGTAAGTGTTGCTTCCTCTGTGTGGAATGTTATATAAGTCAAAAGCAACATCGATTGCTGCTGTGGTCAGGTGTTTTTGATACACTCGCTCTGAATAAGTAGCCTTCCTAAGAAATTAATTTCATCTAATCACTACAAAAATTAAAATGAAAAGTTGTTGAGTCAAATAAAGAATACGATGGGTTTTTCATCACAGAATTCGTTTGAGCTGCAAAGTAATGAGATAAACTTAGCATTTCAGTTATTTTTGTAACTAGTTGTGGTTTCTCAACTTTGCTACTCGCAATATTAATGCCTACTGCAGAATTACTGAGATCATATGTCCCTGTGTTTTTCTATAGATACGCAGTGATGTTAAGCTGCTGGAAATACGAAAGCGCCAGCCGGCCACACTTTGTGAAGCTCTACCAAACAATGGATACATATATTAAAACAAAGGTTTGCCATACAGCGTCTAATTCAGTATACACTTCAGAAATTGAAATCTGTATCCTACCAAGTCAATTGCGAATTTCTTTTCACGTCAATGTGATGTCAAAACGCATTAACTACCTAGCCGCTAACAATTTGTGAATTCAGTTTAATTTCATCATGAGCCAATGTTACTTTTAAACATATGCAAGTGTGGTTACGTTATGTCAGTCTGGATCATCCTTATTTTCCCTCTGTTGTTTACACACAAGAAAGAACGGAACAGATCTTAAAATAACACTTTTGGAAAACTTTGACAGAAAGGAAGACCATACCTGACTTTCAATTCATGCAAGTACTAATGGTTCTTGTCTTTGTGATTGATATCTGATCTGCTCTTTTTTTTCTTTTTAGTGACTCATTTTTGGAATTTCTTTGTTGAATTTTTTAAATTCATTCGTTCAAGTTTTATTAACTCCTGTAGTTCTTGATAACCTTCTAATCTTTTTCATAGACATATGTAGATATCTTTGACGATGACAAGTATGATCAGGATAAGTACAACTTTGTCGATGACCGTGGAGCTGTTGCAAACCCAGAAGATGCAGGACCGGACGAGCTAGGAGCAGCTGCAGCAAATCCCATCGGTGAAGTGGGTGAACACGGTGCTACGGCACATCCCTTTCTGGTTGCAGTGGACGATGATGCTACAGCTTTCCCTCTTGGAATTAACGCAGGAGACGAAGGAGCACCTGCAACGGATCCCGACAGTGAAGTGGGTGAACACGGTGCTACGGCACATCCCTTTGTGATTGCAATAAACGATGGTGCTCAAGCTTTCCCTTTCGCTATTAACGTACCAGAGAAAGGGGCAGCTGCAGCAAATCTCTCCCATAAAGTGGGTAAGCACGGTGCCGCTGCACATCCCTTTGTGGTTGCAATTGACGATGGTGCTACAGCTTTCCCTTTCGCTATTAACGTACCAGAGGAAGGAGCAGCTGCAGCAAATCTCGCCCATGAAGTGGGTAAGCACGGTGCTATTACACATCCCTTTGTGGTTGCAATTGACGATGGTGCTACAGCTTTCCCCCTCGCTATTAACTTACAAGACAAAGGGGCAGCTGCAGGAAATCTGGCCCGTGAAGTGGGTAAGCACGGTGCTACCGCACATCCCTCTATGGTTGGAATTGACAATGGTGCTACAGCTTTCCCTCTCGGAATCAAAGTAGAAGAAGAAGGTTGCGCAGCATACCCTTTTGAGAGTGATAAGAAAGATATGGATGCCCAAGCGTACCCTTTGGAGAGTGATACTTTACCATACCTTAGCGAGAACGAGGAAGAAGATGTTGATGACTCCGAGTGCCCTCTTGCGATTGAGGAAGAAGAAATTGATCCTTTACCATCCTCCCTGGTGATGGACGAAGACGGTCTAGCTGCTTCAGCATGTCCCCTTGTGACTGACGAAGAAAATTCTGATTCTCTAGCATGCCCCCATGTGGTTGAGGAAGAAGATTCCAATAACTCAGCATGCTCCCCGGTACTTGGGGAAGAAGATTTGGAAGCCACAGAATGCCTTTCTGTTACTGAAAAAGAAGATCCAACCTCTTTCGCACGCTCCGCAAATGAGGCGAACAAACCCGATGCCTCACCATTCCCTCGTGTGATTGAAGAGGAAGATCTTGATTCTTTAGAATACAATCCTCTGATCGAAAAAGAAGGCGTCAGTGATTTCGTGTTCCCTCCAGAAAATCAAACTAATGACGAAAAAGGTGTAACAAGTGAACCTGAAAATACCGTTGGTTATGAAGGTGCTGTAGCAGTTCAATCTGAAAAGGAGGCAGTAGAAGAAGAATCTAAGACTTGCCTACTAGAGTACACGAAGGATGAACAAGACGATCTTGGAAACTATGTGGACGACCAAAGTGATGCTTTAGACCTTTTTGACGGAGACGCTGGCTTACAAGAGTATGATGCTAATCAACTTACTGCTGCGGATATAGACGAAACTGGAAGTGACGAAGACGAGGAGTCATCTGAAGCAACTCCTCTTGTGCAGGACTGAGGCTTAATAGCAGAATTGCTGAACCTCTAAGGTTCTAGTCTTATAACACTTTGTGGTAATTTTTAGTTTATATTTCGAGAATTTCAGCCTCAATATTTCATAGTTTTTTATTTTAAGACGCAGGTTTTTTCGTACTTTTACTTTAGTAATGCTTTGGTAGTGATGATAACCATTTTCATAGTTTATAAATGGAGGTTAATTAGAATTTCCTTCAAAGAAAAAACTTGTTTATTTACTTCACTTTTGCATTTCTTAGTTTACCGTTTATTCACTTGGTGCACTTGTCGGTGCTTTGTTGTTGATGTTATTGACTGTAGGCTGATAGAGACAAAAAAAAAAGAAAAAAAAAAATTGCTGTTAAGATAATTTTTATAACTGATCAAGCCAGAAATGCTGCGTAAGTTTGTGAGTGTTGTTCCTAGTATAAGTAATATTTCCTGATCTAATTAAGAATAATTTACTTGTTGTAAAGCACTCCCTAAATGCTTCAATAAACTTATTTAAGCTAAACTCGTTTCGTTTACTCCATTCATTGCAGCAAAATTGCTGGTCTGGATCTAACTGTAGATTTGAAGGATACCATAAACTAAAATGACATCTGGCCTCCTTCAAAGAGTAAGATTGACGAAAATCCAGTAGCGCTGCGTTAGTTCTGATAAGTGTATATATTTTTCTATTCCCAGCTTACGCTCGCTTAGCAACCAGGAGTAGCATATCCTCAAAACATTATTAACCCAATACATTTTATCCTTTTTGTAGACAGCTACTGACTCACCAGCCTTTTCAATCGAGTTCTCTATTCCAATTTGTTGATTAGATAGGCGGTATTAAGCTGATTAGTCTTGAATGTTGTTATTTCACATCACTGCTTCTAATCATTGTCTGAGAAAAGTGTTTTAGAAGTTTGAAACATAAATGACCCCATTGTGATGATTCTTAGTGCAGAAGTTGGCCTAAGGCAGATATTCCAAGTGCCAAGGAAGCATGATTTTTTACTTTTTATCTCCACAGTTTCAGGCATTTGGCGTCTCGGGATATTGTGTTTGAATATTGTTGACACTAATCGTACCTTCCTGGTGCACTATGTCAGCAAATATGTCGAGTTTAATCAAGCAATAGATGGCGTTTTCGAGAAACACAGACGAGCTAATATAATAAAGGATTCTCATTCAGTAATTTTCAGTTGTTTTTTTCACGAGCACTTATATATAACGCTGACATTGCCTAACCCATTACTTCAACTTTCATCTTGAGAAGTACTGTGCTATGAGTTTTAGAGAAATAGGCAACGGCAGTTATTTTCTTACTGTCCGTCGTCGTGTTTCTTGACATGAGCAAGTTCTTTGACAAAATAAACGAGGGCATTTCGGCGTGGCTTAGTTCATCATTAGTCCATCTGCTAGAAAACAAGTAGCGCTCATAAATTCTGAGTCCCTGACTCTCTGGTCTTTGAATCCAGAGTGCCACAAGCGGTTATTCCATGACTTGTTTTGTTCAGAATTTATGTAAATGACTTTTCATATGCCCTTCAATCTTGTTTTACTGAATATTATTGGATGATACTAAACTTCAGATTTCTCTCCCAGTTCAAGGCTGGGTTAAGACAACAATTTTTTTCTGAGACAGGGAGTGTCCTTTAAATGACAGTGAAATAAAACCACGATCGTCGATCAAAAGATCGGTGGTGACTCTGATGTCGATCTCAAAAATTTTGGTTTTTGCCTTTTTTTCAGCATTTATTTATAAAGAAGTATTTATTGTTTAGACAGGATTTTGAAATTTCTGCACACGAAATTAAATTAAAATTTTTTTTTTGTTTGAATCTTCCGAAAATCTGACATTTCGATCCGTATATAGATATAAGGAACCCAAAAGTAGTAATTAAAACGTTACTCCGCACATCCTTCTCCATTCACTTCCAGGGGATTTGCGCCCGAAAATGTTGTGATTATTACAGGAATAAATTATTCAAAATCATATTTTTGTATTATTTTATCTCACAGTATTAAATTATATACAAAAACAAATATTCATCTAAGTGCCGGTGGCTAGGGGTAGATATTTACATCTCCGCTTGGCAGCTTGGTAAATATCCACCACTAGTTAACTCTACCTTGGTGAAGAGTTAAGAAATAATTATTTGATAAAATTTCAATAAGACGATTGGCATCACAATTTATCGTAATAATGCAAACATTTCCGAGAAGACAATATTGGAAAATGGATCATTTTTCTATCCATATCTTGTAAAATTAATGTCAATGAAGGAAATGTAAATAAACTTGAAAGGTCTTGGCTGGCCACCAACACCAGCACCTGTACAACAACAACTGAAGTGTGTCAATAATCATGTATTGTTACCCTTGGTGTTATCAAAACAAGCAGGCTAACATATCTGTCAACCAAAAAGGTTTATTTATGCAACTAAGAATGAAGTATTTGAAAGCCTAGGGACCCAATTTGCCAGTCTCTAGCTAAATACTACAACAGGTACCGATAAGTAAGCACGTAATACTTCTGAAAAAACCGTCAGAAGGAGACAGATTGTGCCTTTCTGTGAGAGCGTAGCCGGTTTTAATGACTAAGCTATTGAGTCATTCATCACGCCCTTAAAACCAAGACTATTGCCAAAATGGCCTACAGTATATCCTAGAGCTCGTGTGAATGATTTATTCGTATTGCATCATTACACATTTTACGCTTTGTTTTTGGAAGCAGATGTGAACTGTTTGTGGAAAAAAAATTTTGTTGAACATTGATAAGGGCTGAGACGAGCGCTGGTGTTTTCATCATAAAGTTAATGTTCAAGAGAACTTAAAGTTTAGCTAAATCTCGTTTTTTATTATTCTCGAATTTAATAATACCAAAATATAAGCCATTTAATTACCAATCAACCATTTTTGTGGCGTCCTCAATTTGTGAGATGTTTAATGTGGTCTTATTTGATATTCAAGCATGACGCATTTTAAAATAAAGGTTAGACATATTCATCTTGAGGTTTTTCCTCCTGATTGTGGGGGGGAAAGTCAGCTGAAAGAGGCCAAAAATGCAAAAGAAAGCAGTGGTTCACTGCGACTGTATAAATAGAGAAGTCAGCAATAACTGAGGCGGCGAAAAAGGAAAAGAAAATAACAACCTTCCTTGTTTAAAAGCGCCGCCAGCAAGAGGACTAAAGGGGCCGCACAAATGTACGGGGTAGACTCTTTTAAGGTTTTATTCGACAAAGTTGCTTCGCACTTCGCTGAAAACGGTTTGTTCAGTCAAAATGCGAGATATTAGATTTAAGTATGAGAGAACAGGGCATATCGAGCAAAGACAAGTCCACAATTAACGTTTATTTATTAATTTTGTTTATGCATGGGCGATCTTTAAATAAATATTAGAAACCCGTCCAAAATAGATGGAAAGAATCAATTCTCAATCAATATCTCATTGTATTTCATGGCAAAAAAAAGAGACTAATTGATGTTATGTCTTCCTCTTCTTCTTATTCTCCTTCCTGTAAAGAGAACATGGAAAAGAAAAAGAAATTTGTATTCCTCCTCATATTGCAAGAGAGTTTCGACTCAGTATTCAATGATTCCTTATTGATTAATATGGACGCGGAAGTTTTTCCACATAAATAAAGGCGACCTTGAATCACGAACAACAACAAAACGCCCTGGCTGTGTCCTTTACTTCCTTTCTCACTTCTGTGATTTTCCAACAGTAAATAAAGGGATTCAGAGATGAGTTCAGATAAACTAAAGTTTTGGTGAAGAGCCACATAGCATGAACTGCAGATCCACTAATTACTGTATATCGACACAATTATAGAAGGGGTGTAGCATGCCACTAAAGCCAACTGCACCCAAAATATGCTGGAAACTGTTTTCTGATATTGTTTGATGTTTAGTTGAACTCTCCCGTTTAATCTTTGTTTTGATGAACCTTTTGCTGTCCATGCACGTACTCTTCCCCTTCCTGTACCTTTTACTCCTGCTCCTTCTTCTGTGGCTGTTATTGTCCCCGTTATTGCGCCTGCTTCATCTTTTCCTACTCCTATATCTTCTCCTGCGTTTGACCGTCGCTAGCCAGGGTTGTCTTCTACTTCAGCCTGTTACCGCTGTAATCTCAGGTGGATTTTAACTTAGCAAAACACGGAAGTAACCAGAGATACCACAACGGCCACAAAAGCAACAATCTCCGAATCCGTTTGACTCCAGACACGAACTAATCCACATAAAACAGCAATTATCCAGCATAAAATTATAACAGCTTGAGTTCGCTTTAGTGTCACTAGTGTATATATCTCAGCCTCAATAACAGAACAAGAAGTCTGTCAACACTGATGGCTGTTGATATCAGTACAGGCACTCCAAACACAACATAGTTGGATATACAAACAACCTCTTCGAGGTAATACAAAATATCTATGTCGGTGTTACCAAGATTAATGTAAAGAAATAACACAGTCACGAACAGAGGTTGTGAAAAAAGACCCACACAAAGATCGGTAGCGGCTAGACATTCAAACAAGACCTTTGCAGTGGGATGCAAAGAGGACACTTTCTAAAATGTTAATAGAAGCAGAGCATTACCAAGAGATGCAGTGAAGGAGAGGACAATGTTGAAAGCGAGGAGAAATGCTACTACTCCAATTGGTAATTGTGAAGATAACTGGCTTGTGAGGGTCGCCATTGGCGCTCACGTTCAGACTTGGGGCTCTGTCTTTCCCTCTTTTAGCAGCAAATGAACGTTTATTGGGCGATCCGTAATCGATATAAGAGTATTATTGTTTTGTTGAGAATTTTAACAGTTTCTATTGGATAAAAAATTCCTCCTGTGGTCTGATTTTCCGACGACAAATGTCACAGCTATAATTAGACTTGTTTTGAACTCTTTCGTGTTTTATTCATATTCTTCGAATTTTCATCATGTTTAGTGAGCGGGGTGCCACATTTATTTAACATACTAAATGACAGAATCTGTGAATTATTTTTCGCCGATAATTTGTAGAGCTTCCTTAGCAAGTCAGGTTTTCTTTTCAGTTCCTGACTCATGTGTGTCTTTGCCCTTCTTAGCCATGCTCATTTTGTTTTAAGGTAACATATCTGTGGTTCCTTTATGATAAGCAAATGCTTTTTAGATGAAAAAAAATACATAATATACTAATGTTGAGGAACATCGTGGTCCATTCTCATAAATAAAGGAATTCTTGAACTACAAACCACAACAAAACGCTCTGATTGTCTTCTTTACTGCAATTCTCACTTCTCTGAACTTCCAGCACTAAAGAAAGAGATTCAAATTTAATTTAATGTTATCAGCTGAGTTTAGGACGTAAACTGGTTACCGTATGCTAGTTTCCGTTTATTCATAACAGAAAAATTGATTACTTTGCCGCGCGTGTGTTCCCTAAATTCAGAACTTATTAGCGAGAGCCAATTTGCTGGTACGTCAAAATATGTTAGTGAGTAGAGGTAATCTTTAACTTGGCGAAAAACATAAGCGCAAGGCTGAAAAATACACGTGAAAATCTTAGCTCGATTTCACTTTTTCCTCTAAATGAATTCGATTAGGAACTGAAGAGAAAACACAACTTCAAAATTAATGAAATTTGCTTTGAAACGAGTAGGCTGTGGTGTGCGGAAAAACAGTGTTACCACCGCAAACAGCCAGCTGAATACAAACAATTACCTCCATGCTTCTTTTGAAGCAAAAATGAAAAAATAAGCCACATAAAATATTGGAAAATCACCATAGGAAAAGAAAACAAAATGATATTGACCGAAAACGCTTCAACTTTGTTTTTCTTGAATATAGAAAACCCCCCTTCTGCAGTCGAAAGTCTTACATGGCTAGAGAGACTTAGATATCACCACCTGCTCATTTTGGAAACTAAATTTGTTCTTTGGATGTTCAGTGTGGTGTTCAAGAGGAGAGTTCTCAACGCCTTTAGCGGTGAAAGAGTGGTAACTGCTATAAAATAACATGGAGAACCTGACGGAAAATACAAACCAAACAAGAATTGATCAATTTCGTTGCTTTACGGGCGTATGTGATCGAAGTCTTATTATGTTTATTTCGTCATTGATCTTATAATTTCCGTTGCAGCCATTGTGGGAAATGGTCTCATTCTTTTCCCTCTCTGCAAGATTTCTTCCCTTCATCAACCATCAAAATGTTTGTTCAGTAATCTTGCATGCACTGATATCACCGTTGGACTCAGTTTCCAGCCGTTTCATCTTGCTTACGTAATTTCCCCTTAACACTCTGCAATTTGTTACCATAGCTCGCTCATCAACCGAACCTTGGGGGTCATTTTCTGTGGCGTGTCTGTTCTCACACTGACTGCAATAAATATAGGCAGACTTTTAGCTGTTTCACTTGGGCTAATATATCGACAAGTAGTAACTCTGTGGCGAGTAAGAGTAACTGTATTCCTTTGTTGGCTTGTTTACATTACAAGAGGAATAACAAACCATTCCATCCTTTCTATTTATTTGATAATCAGTAACATGGGTGTAACTTTATCGATGATGACTTCTACTTTCTGCTACATAGCAATTTACATAAAACTCCGCCATCAACAAGCTCAACTCCAAGCTTAAACTATCATTCCCAAATTGTGTGATACAC